CAAAAGCTGTCTCATATCATCAACTATTATTTCGTAATTGAATGTGAGAGAATCTAAATAAACTTCATACAGAATGAATTTAAATGAAATTATTATCTCTTATATATTATCTCTTATATATATTATATTTTACACATATAATATATTTTAGTAATTTTTTTTTGGTATGATATATAGCAATCACCTACGTGTACACAACAGGTTTTGCAAATTTGCCGTTTTGAAGGTCTAATATCCGATTCATAACTTCCGTCTTCTGATAAACTATCAATTTCCACATCGCTACAATCATTGACTAACTTGCATAGACCGGATATCAGATGGAGTTTAGTGTCTCAGGGTCTGAAATACCGACCAGGAAAAAAAATCATTGGTTTTTTTAGCATTCTCTACGCTTAAATAACGGTGAATTAGAGAACTACGTCAAACAAAATCATACAAATTGGTTTAAGAACATAATGTTCGTTACAGTTTGTCAATTGTACATCTTCAGCGAGGTATAAATACATATACTTTGTTTGTCTCCAGATTCCGATACAAGAAATCAGTATCTAAAACTATTCCGTTTTGTATCATGCATCTATGTATATATCAAAAAGAGCTCTATCCGCTTTAATATTAATATACATTTCATGTATATTATAATTATTTATACTTCATTTTTAAAAATAATTTTTAACTAACTACATTACTTTCTAAATTGTTTTGGTTGGCAACTGGTGATTGACTACCGTGTATTTATTTAATTTTAAATGACTACTGATCGAAATAGAATTTAAAAAGCGTGACATGTGAAACTTTAAAGATGTAAAATCTTGGCTTCAAGAATTCTCTATTTGGAAGGGAGATTCTTCAATTTTATGAAATCCATTCTATAAATAAGAAATCTAATCTATAAATAAGAACAAACAATTTGCAGCTAATATTTGACTTGATGCTGACAACTGATTTACGGCAAATTATCGCAACAGCGATTCTTTTGAAAGAACAAAGATATAATATTTTCTTATCCTTCTTTTTGGGTAACAAAAGAAGTTTTTCTAGTATTTCTATTCTTTTTCAAAACATCACCGCCTTCAGACCCTTCGTCACTATATTGGGCTTAATTTGAGCGTCTAGAATAAACAAAAGCACACACAAATGCAACTCTCAAGAAACGCAAGTATATCCATATATACGTATAAACATCCATTTCCGGCAAATAGCAGTCGGTTGGGAACATTGATACCATGTAATTCTTAACTAATTTTTGTACTATTGTTGAATTCCGCTTACAATTTTTCAAAGAGTTTTATTCTACGTTGCAACCGTGGTAAAGGATCGTATACAAAAATCTTCTGTCGACTTAGTGAAAAAAGTAAGTATTGCTTCTTCCCGACATATCTTTTTATATTCCGGTTTATCAGGAAGAAGAGAAGAGGAAAGGAGCGTAGATGACTAACTGGATTTTGCCCTTCTAACACAATTATTTACAGGTCACAGTAAAAGAGGCTATTACTAAAGACTATTACTCATATTAGCACTAAGCCAATATTGTCAAGCCGGTTGGTCATTCAACACCATTTTCCGTCTTTTGTACGTTAAGTGTCGCAAAATTATCTTCCGAACAGTTAAATTCTCGAATTTATTATATAGTATTTGCTCCGAGGAGGGGAGAATAATATCCTTATTTCGTACTGAGAGATTTAACTAATTGGGCTGTAATTTAAAATTTTAAAAATTTCAAATATAAAATTTTAGCCTCGGCTAGTTTTTAAAATATTAGAGAATTAAAAAATTAAATTCTGCGTATTATAATATTATAAATATTAATGTATAGACTATAATACTAATATATATAATACTAATGTATAGACTAATGTAATGTTAAAAATTCGAGAAATCCTGACATTTCGTCGTCTAATCTTAATGATCACAGTTTAATAGAATGGCGAAAAAAGTTGTACAGCAATATAAGGAATAATTATAAAATTGTATATATTAAGAAGAATTGCGGTTCATCCAAATCATTCGCGAGCTCATATTGAATTGCTTGTCCCCTTCGTCTATCGATCATGGTTCTTTGTCATAAAATTGTAGTCTTATTTCTTCTAGCGATCTTCGGCGTTTATCTTATGTTTCAATTATATTATGTTTATACTCCTATCATGTGGATTCTATATAGATAGCAGCAAATTTACAGCAAGTTTTAAGATATCATTGAAAAAAGACATAATTTAAATTTTCTATGGTGGATTTTCAGTCCTAAAAAAACTCAATATTTTTAAAAATTTTTGAAATTTTACAAATTTCGAGAAGATAGAAATTTCTTCAATTTTTCACTTGCTACATAATATAAAAATATCTTCAAAAAGAACAACGGTTCAAGGTGATCGAAGTAAAAGCTTTATATTTTAAAAAGAATTCAAGTAAAGTGTAACATGATTCGTTTTACGAAGTTATGATAAAACTTGTACTTTTAATTGTTCTAAAAATTTGTTCAAATTATCCGGGTGAGAGTATTTGACA